GACTAGCTTGCCTCGGTACGATAATACCACAGCGAATTTTGGTGCTGATGACATGCTAACAAAACAATATTACCGCTGCTCTGGTAGGCTGAGAAGGCCCAGCAATGGTTACTAACCAACGTCGGCTGCCAGAAACCGACGACGATGATGATGACTTGCTCCAGCATTTGGACAGAGAAATGGCAGGCTTGGCAGAAAGAGTCTCGATCACGTAAAAGAGCGAAAAATGAACGTGCGTTTCACGATACGATGAACGCTAGAGTTTCGGTGCCGAAGTATTTACACCCAGTGAGCGATAAGCAGCATAAACAGTGCATGAAGTTGCTACAGTTGGCGCTCGGCGCTGAGGGCTTGGATGCATGCGTGTGTTTGGTTTGTGATCGCCTGATGCTCCGTCGAGACTCTGTGCGAAATGAAGCAACGGATTGGCAGTATATTGATTTGCTTCGCCGAAACTTGGGGAAAGCTGCTGTCGACCTTCCCGAGAGGCTTGTGAACCAGTATTCGGCCCCGCCAATTCTGCAGGGCTTAGAAAAAGTTCTCGTTTCGCCTCGCGGCGTTCATTACTACAGCGATGACAAGGATTGTCCGGATGCGTGGATATGTGTTTGTTCAGATTGCGACAAATCGATTCGGTCGCAGCAGCTACCAAAGTTTGCCGTGGCTAATGGTTTTTTTATTGGAGCACTGCCAAAGTCACTGCGTGGATTGACTCTTCCAGAACGATTTATGACTCAGCTTGCTAGCATTGGTGCGGTGACTCGAGTAATGCGAGGAGGCCGTCACCGATGTATACGATCGCATTGTGTTGCGTTTGACTGTACTCCAGGGCCACCGGTCTCCTTATTGCCACGTTCTCTCAGTGATGTAGAGGCTTATCGCGTTGTTATGGTCGGTGATTTTACAGAAGCTCAGACGAAGAAAATCAAGAAGATGCACCGCATTCGTAACCAGCTTGTCAGAAACGTGTTCAATTTCTACAAAGCATACAATCATTTGTACGACGACGTGATCCCGAATGATGAAGTTTTGGATAGCTACTATTCTGATGAAATGATCGCCCAGCATTTTGTAGACTTCGCAGATGACGATGATGATGCTTTTTATGATGATGCCATTTGTGCTGAGGAAGAATCGGTTCGCGGCAATTCCGACTCGTGGAATGGAGGAGAAGCTGATGAACAAAACGTGCTTGAGCGACGTGTAGGACTTTGT